CCCTCAAAAGCTGGATTGAGACGCATAAGAAAGGTCATCAGACGGGAGCTAGCTCGCTCCTTCAGAACCTCTGCGGAGGTCGCAGCTGAGATCAGGGAAGAGGTGAGCATATCATGCTCCGACCATAAGTTGAGAGCTTCTTGATAGTATGCGCGAACATCCAAGTCACCTTGCTGTAGAGAAGCGAGAGATAACTCAATTTCGAACTTTCGGGAGGCATCCGCTTGAGAGTGGATCTTATGTAGGTGATGCCACATAGCATGTGTTGTAGGAAAACTTCTCAAACTCAAGACTATACCTGGATCGACTGAGGTGAGGAGCGAGAAAGTAACCTGTGCATTGGCAATGGCCAAGTTGGACTGAGCTTTGGCCGATGCGGAGGCCTCTGGTGCCGACTTCGAACCATCAAGAATCGGAAGCAGACCCTTCCCTTGCACATAAACCCGGAATTGAAGCTCCCATAAAGGGAAGTTCTTACCGTTAAATGGAACAGAAACCGAATTCACCTTAGAACCCTCCATGAAGAATAAACAACACTCCCAACAACCGAGACAAAGAGGAACACAAAGCGAACACAGCCTGCAGCCGAGAATCAAGAACGAAAAACCAGAAATAATAGCAAGCCAATATTCCCCATGCAACGAGCACACTCCTGTTGCCGAGAACCAACAACCGAAAACCAGAAAGAATACCAAGCCAAAAATCCCCAAATGCAGCAACCGAGAAGTTAAAAATGCCAAAGAAAAGTAATCCACGAAAATGACAATTCCAAACGAAGCCAACGAGAAGAACATAACTCACCAAAGCACCCGACGACAGCTCAAGAAAAATCAGAGAGGCCTGATACCATGTCAAACTCCAAGAAATCGATTATCTAACCAAGCAATGAACACAGATTTATGTGGTTTCCCCAACGATGGTCGTTGAGCCTAGTCCACGACACAAGGCGTTAGATTATCTTATTCAACAGAAGATTCAAGATACATACAATAAGTCCCTAAAGGACTATATATATGTTTAGCGGCCGCCAGCCCTACTATATATATGTTCGATGACCACATGATACACGAAATATATACATGAACAATTATAAAACAGCTCCAAAACTTCTAGCTTCTAAGAGTCACTGTTGCATATGACTCACCGAGTAAAAGGAAATTTCCAACGGGTAATGCTCACAAGAGTATCCGATACACCCAGTTTCACCATAAGCCTCTTTGTTATTTGCACTACACAATTATTTTGAAAGATCAATTATTGTTTATGTAATATTTTATCTCATACGGTACTCAATTCCGCATATAACATATTTACATAAGGCTTTCCATAACTAGGCCTGTCGGTTCGGGTAATCGAACCAGAAAATCGAGAAAACCCGAAACCGAGACTAAACAACCCGAAAATCTACCTTGTGGGTTTCGGGTGCAGGAACTCGAAAATATGCTAGCGGTTTTGGTTTGGGTCGGGTGAACCCGAAACCGAACCGTTGTGGATTTTTTTATTTGAATTTTACATTCTTTTGCTTGGACAAACAATTTTATTCTTATTATTTGTACATTCTTATTAAACAATTATGTTTAATTTTATGGGACGTGGACAATATAAAACTAATATTTATATATTAATTTATTATTAAAATCTTAGTTAATTACTAATATATTTAATTTTATGTATTCTATAACTATTGACATACTATTAACTATTAAAGAGTATTACTAGTTTAGAGACAAAGTAAAATACTTATTGTTGGGGGTGTTGCTAAGGGGCTCCCCGCAGAGACTAAGGAATACCGCGTTCAATCGACAACGTACGACGCTCTAAACCCGCTACGAGTATATAAAGGTATGAAACCCACCAAGGAAGGGGACTCCTCTCTCTCTCCTCACTTTCCACTTTCCACTATCTCTCTACACTTTATCTCTCTACCTTATTCTCTCAACTCTCTCCAGAAACTTATACTAACTTGATCGTCGGAGCTTAATCCGGGGGGCATCCCCGACTCTTTCACAGGTTCTCTCCCTCCCGACGAGATTGGACGAACGGATCGTGAGTCAACCCCACACCAACAAATCATTATTGTTCCTGCCTCGAGCTAGATGGTTCAAACAATTGGCGCCCACCTTGGGGCGTGACTCGACATCTGTTTCTTCAATTTCCGAAGGAGGGAGGGATATCTATAATCCGAAGTTCACAAAAGCCCCGTCGGAAGGAAGGGAAGAGAACGCAGCGACTTGCAGAAGAAAGCCGCTTCTCCTTTCACCAACCCAGGCGTCGGCAACAACCACTGAGAAGAGAGGAAGCAACTCCGGCAATGGTGCCCCGGCGCTGGACCTTCGGCGCTGATCTTTGAAGGAGGCAAGACATGTCACGCAACCCTCACTGGAAGGAAACAAAGAAAGAGTCCAGCAGTAGCAGCCGAAAAAAAAAAAAAAAAAAAAAAAAAAAAGTGGCGAATTGTCACATCATCCTGACTTTTCTCCCAAAAAGCGGGTTACTTTCTCCTTGAGTCAGAAGAAAGAAGATAGACGCAAATATCGAGGCAAAACCCATTGCAAGTGGGTGCCAGGCTGTAAAGTACCTTCCCTTTTCAGACTGGCCAGCCCGGGACGCGCGCAAGCCCCAGCTCGCGGTCCGCTTCACCCAGATCACAACCCGAATCTGCCTCTCACGTCGATTATGGGCTCCGTCCCACTCCAGCTCGCGACCCAACAACACACAACTAGCGGCCCACTTCACCAAAGCCCGCGCCCGAGTCAAGCATCGCAGGCCACACAGCCTCGTCGCGTCGCGGCCCACTCGCGTAACGCGTACCCGCCTCAAAAAATGTCGTCGCCGCGGATACTCGAACCAGCAACATGCTTCCGCCAAACAAACGACGTTACCAGCACGCTACATGCGAACTTTGTCCTTCAATTGCGCAGCGTCTCCTCTTCATCTATACCTCCGCGCCACCCTACTGCGCAAGCCGGTGGCCCACCGCCGCCATCGCCTTGGCCGCGTGCAAGCCCAGACTCGCAAGCCCATCTCCACAGGCGCATCCACCGCCTCTTAAGCCCGCTCCACACCTCCAATACTTGGCCCACTCCGCTCCAACTGCAATTGGCGGCCCACACATCAAGTCCCCAAGCGGACTTCCAAAGCCCCCACCAAACCCGCAGGCGCCCCAACTCGCGACCCGCGTTCAGCTTCCGCCGCCTCGACACTCGCGGCCCGACTCACAGGCGGCCCAACTCGCGTCCCACCTTCCGCCTCCAAACCCACTCGCGGCCCGCTCGACCCTTCAGCTCGCGTCACCCGGCCCACTCGCGCCAGATGGGCCCATCACCGCTCAGTCGTGCGCGAGGCACCCAAAAACCACGCGTGGGAGGCGGGATTCGAACCGCTGTCCGTCCATTATCCTGCAAGCAAACAGAACCAGTGGACTACGGGCCAACTGTTGTCAAATGAGCGCGGAAGGTTTATTTTACCCTTTTGTTCGCGCCAGCCCGAGTCGCGGCCCGCACTCATGAATCGAAGTCCGCCCACAGTCTCGGCTCTCACTCCCATCCCTCTCGCTATCTCACGCGGATTGGCCCGCTTCGTTCACATGCCCAGCCCAACAGGCGCTGAACTCTTCAACAAAAAATTATTGTCGCCGCCAGCCTTTGAACCTGCGCCACTATTCCACAAGACAAGCATCTTTACCAGCAGGCCACAAGTACCTTGTGTTTCAACGGTGTGGCGTCTGAATTTTAACATTCGCGCCCAATCAGTTCGAAAGAACAAAAAATTAGTATGAGTCCAGCACTCTGCGCTCAGTTCCACGGAACAAAACTTAGCAATAGTCCAGCACTATTCGCGCCCAATCAGTTCGAAAGAACAAAAAATTAGTATGAGTCCAGCACTCTGCGCTCAGTTCCACGGAACAAAAAATTAGCAATAGTCCAGCACTATTCGCGCCCAGTTCCACGGAACAAAAAATTAGCAATAGTCCAGCACTATTCGCGCCTAGTTCGAAAGAACAAAAATTAGCAATAGTCCAGCACTATTCGCGCCCAGTTCCACGGAACAAAAAATTAGCAATAGTCCAGCACTATTCGCGCCTAGTTCGAAAGAACAAAAATTAGCAATAGTCCAGCACTATTCGCGCCCAGTTCGAAAGAACAACCTGCAGGCTACCACTCAGGTTCTGTTTCAACGGCGCAGCGCCCGCCTTTCAACTACTCCTGCCGCCACTGCCAATATAAAGCTAAGTACTCTATCCCTCCATCATTATTAAATTTTTAAAATATTTTACTATCCTAAGCGTTAATGGCGCTAATGGGGGGCAAGACGCAAGAAGCTGGCACCGCGTCACTAAAACGCGCCACCAGCTGGGGGGCAACTGGGGTACATAGGCCCCACCCAAAATTACCGACAAAGATTTAAAAAAAATAAAATATAAGCTAGTGATGAGTTAAAACTCACCACCAGCTTGGGGGGCAATTGTTGGGGGTGTTGCTAAGGGGCTCCCCGCAGAGACTAAGGAATACCGCGTTCAATCGACAACGTACGACGCTCTAAACCCGCTACGAGTATATAAAGGTATGAAACCCACCAAGGAAGGGGACTCCTCTCTCTCTCCTCACTTTCCACTTTCCACTATCTCTCTACACTTTATCTCTCTACCTTATTCTCTCAACTCTCTCCAGAAACTTATACTAACTTGATCGTCGGAGCTTAATCCGGGGGGCATCCCCGACTCTTTCACAGGTTCTCTCCCTCCCGACGAGATTGGACGAACGGATCGTGAGTCAACCCCACACCAACAAATCATTATTGTTCCTGCCTCGAGCTAGATGGTTCAAACACTTATACATATTTTGTACGTAACTTAATCATATCTTATTTTGCTATGTTAAGTAATACAACCTTTTGGGCCTTGTGGGTTTTCATATAATTAAATGTTTTCGTAATACCATAGGTCCAAAATTGAAAGTATATCAACTATCATATGCAAAAAAAATGTTTGGTGTATGGCACAAAATTATAAATAATTTTGTTCAACATAAAATCACCGACAATCATAGATGAGATTATCTTCAACTCGTAATTAAACACATTAGTTTTACAATTCTCGAATGATAACATCCATGTAAAATCAAAGTTCATCCACCATACAAGATAAACACTACTACCATTATCACTCCTCCTCATCAGGCTCTACATCCACATAAGTCTCATCATTCTCATCAGAATTGTCATCGAAATAGTCTTCTTCCACTTGTGACATAGCATGAGAGCTTCCACTAGGTCCTGCATGAGAGCTTTCACTAGGTCCTGCAGGTGCACTTGCACTCCGAGCTTGAAAAGCTGCAAATATTGGATAACATAAACAATAACAACTTGTTAGAATATGACTTGATCAAGATAACAGATATAAGAATAATTAGAAAGATTAAGTCCTTACCATTTTGAAATACCACTTCATCACCCTCATTCTCCATCAGCCACCAACTCGGAGTCTGAAGATCTTATCCAATCTTCACAACAAATCAAAGCCTCCACAACTTCAGGGGATAAGGAGGTCCTAAATGAATCTAAAACTCGACCTCCTATGCTGGATGCCGATTCAGAAGCAAAAGTGGAAATAGGAACAGTAAGAATATCCCTAGCCATCTCAGAAATAGTAGGATATTTCATCCCACTTCGCGACCACCATCCCAAGATGTCAAATTTGTACTCATCCTCTTCTGAACCCACCAATGCTCGTGTAACCACTTCATCCTCCTCCTCCTCCTCAAGGTACCTATCAAACTCAGATTTGGAACTTTTTCTAGTTCCTTTCAGAATGGCCTCTCTTTTCATTTTCCTGAAATCACCCCAAATCTTCCTTTTCTTCTTCCCATCCCCACTTCCACTAGGTTCTTGCTCATCTTCCTGAATCACAATGGGAGAACCACCATGAAGTCCAAGCCTATGCTTGTAATGGTCAAATAGAAGACGCATTTCATCTTTCACCTCTTCGACCAAAGCTTTGCCCATACTCTCACCATATACCTTCTTCAAAGCTTGTTCAAGATATTCAACTTTCCGCCTAGGATCTAATATGACTGCCATATAATACAACCGATTCATCTTGGAATTCTCCAACTCATCTTCAAACCAATACTTGGCAAGTTTGGACTTGATTCTCCCAGCCATGCAAGACACCTCAAATTCTATACCATTAGCCCACTCAGATATCATAGTATACATTTCACAGATCTCATCAAACAAGATGTGTGAAGTCACATATGAAGTCCCAGAAACTCGAACAGTCAAATCATAGAAGAGCTTCAGGTAATCAATCAACCGTCCCACAATAGACCAATCATCAGAAGTTGTGATACCAAGGCTTTCCTTTCCATATATTTTTCATTGAGATGTTTCTTGAATTTCTTATCATTTCTAGCTAATGTCTGAAATGCTTTCTCAAATGGCTTTGCAGATTCCAACATCAGATACGTTGAGTTCCACCTTGTAGCTACATCCAACGAAACAAATTTCTTCGACACTATCTTTTCAAACTCAATGAAATCTTTGAATTTTCTGCTCCTAGTTGGTGTAGATTTAACCCACTTCACAGATTCTCTCACTCGCTCCAAAGATTTACCAGTTTCTTTAAGCCCATCCTTCACAGCCAAATTAATAATGTGAGCCACACACCTCATATGCAGATACTTGCCATCCAAAATATCTGATCCCCATTCTTTCAACTGTTCCCTCATATGGATAGCAACCACATCATTGACACTAGCATTGTCCATTGTTATACAAAACACCTTCCTAATGCCCCACTCCACCAAACAACTAGCCAACTGTTTTCCAATTTCACTTCCAGAATGTTTTGTAACTTGGACAAAGTTAATAATTCTTTTATGCAATTTCCAATCTCTACCAATGAAATGAGCAGTAATGCACATATAATTGAGATTGGACAAAGAAGTCCAAGTATCAGTGGTGAGCGAGACCATCCCTAAACACTTAGTCTTGAAATAGTCCTTCAGCAACTCTCTATTTTCAAAGAACACCTTGATACAATCCTCTCTAACGGTTTGACGGCTAGGTAACACAAACATTGGACAAACACAAGCCATAAATCGTTTGAACCCTTCATGTTCAACATACCTAAATGGTAATTCATCTATGATAATCATCTCCGCTAAATCTCTCCTAGCATCAATCTGATCGAATTTCCAAGTGCCAAGAGTGTGTACCTGGCCTCCAGAAGATGATAGATGGTCGACTATCAGCTCACCCTTTTCTATCTTTTCCAAACAACTATCTTTATGATTCCGCAGAGTAGAAGTCCCATATCTAGTGGGAGCAATAAGAACACCATTGCAATTAATGCATCTTGCTTTGTCCACTCCATCCTTCTTAAAACGTTTGAAGTGTGGCCAAACGTCATTTTTTTTTTTGAAGTTGTCCCCTCATTTGTTGTTTGGGCAGGAGGTACATTGGTGGTACCAGTAGACAGTGTAGGAGCAGGAGTAGGATTGGATGATGGTGCAGGAGGTATAGGAGGAATGTCGGTACTCTTAGAGCGCCCTCCAAGTTTAGGACGAGAAGCCGATGGTGCCTCACTCTCTCTGCCAAATATAATAAATTAATTAGCCAAAGTGCAATAGTGTAAACACTAAACAGGAATTCTGATGCATGTAATTCTTGAAAGTTCCCTAGTTAAAATATACCTATATTTTTTTGTGGTTGGTTATCATGAGTTAAAAAAAACACAGTAAAATCTTCTGTAATATCATCCATTACAAAAAACAAAACAAAACAAAGACCTTACTTTGCAGCCTATAATTAGTTAATTAATTTGTCAATCTATATATGTTTCTCTTCTGTCCTCAAAAGAGATAGGAAAAAGGAATAACAACTCAGCAAGCAACCTGTTTCATTCATTCATTCATCATCAAAGCAAGCAAGCAATTAGTCTCATTCAAAGTCTTCACTCTCACATTAGATTATTAGCTCTCTTCATCACCCCCCAAGGCCACAATATAAATAAACCCCATCCCTCCCCCCTCATGTTTCCTTCCACAAATCAGTTCCCCATAAAACCAAACACTCTCTCTTAACTCCTTACTGGGATTCAACCAACAGCTGCCCCTATAACTTACTGTTCTTTGGTTTCAATGATCTCTTACTAAACCTACTCTACTGTTCATAACTCTGAACATCAGAACATCCACTCAAGAATCCCAAATTGGACCAAATGCACGAATCAACTAAAGGATATTCCAATGCTATTACTAAAAGGAAATCACCCCACTAACCAAATCAATTAAGCAGAAGAACAGGATGCAGAACATGATGTAGTAGAAAGATTAAGTACATAACAGTTCTAATCCAATAATAAATATATTAACCCAATCATGGAAAGACAGTGAAACTTGACAACTACCAACAAGACAAACGATTGCATTACCACAACTCACAACCACCACCTATGCAATATCCATTAATCTATCCAATTACAAAATTAACAACAAATCTGGAGACACTTTCTCTTAAAGGAAACAAACCCATTTCTTCTAGCCATCCTTGAGATTAATCCCAAAGCCATAACAGGATCTACATAAGCATTAAGCACTAGAAAACGACAATATGAGATGAATATGACTTACTGGGATGCCATAGGTCTCAGTTCTGACTCTGGTTTGCCAATGAAAAGACTGGGGGAAGCAATTTGGGAAGAAGAAAATCAAACGCAGATGGGTAGCTGCCTTGCTGGGCAAATCGACAATTTCAAGGTCTCGAACCCAAATGGCGGCTACAGAAACCTAATTGAAGCCTCGAACCCAGATGGATTGCTGCATTGCTGGGGGGCGGAGGGAAGGCGAATCGGGAGATGACGAAAATGTAGGCGAGGGAGAGGACGGCGAAGGCGATGTCGGAGATCCCCTCGAGGCCGTTGGCAGCGAGGACGTTGATGGCGGTGAGAAGTTGAACTGGTAGAAGGTGAGAAGGGAGGCTCTGTTTCGGTGAAGCCTCGAGCAAGAATTGATTCTCCTCTGTCGCAAATTCGCAAGGAGATACTCGAACCCTAGAGGTCCACTTATCCAAAAAAACGTCACCGTTTACTCCAATCACAACTTTCGGGTTTTTATCGGTTTTCGGTTTACATCAAAATCGAAACCGCTAACTATTGCTTCGGTTTGGAACCGAAAAACTGAAACCCGGCACCAGTGTTTTCGTTTCGGGTTCGGTTTAACCCGAAAACCTGAAACCAATTGGACAAGCCTATTCATAACTGGATTTTATTATTAGACCACGCGTTACCGAAAATTTATGTAACACTATTTTATAACACTTACAAGCAATACAAATACATTACCGTAACTAGATTATTATTAGACCACATGTTACTGACGATTTATGTAACACTAAGTCTTCTATAATGACTAAGACACTATGTAACACATAATTATATTTCTTGTGTATCTGTTAAACAATCTTATGACGTAATTCATTCATAATATATATATATCACATAAATGTTAAGTAAATATCTTACCCAAATGATTTGATTTTCAACTAAATTCTCAAATCAATGAATAAAATTTTAAATATAATTTCTTTTTCATCGCTGCGAAAGGGGGAAAAAAACCAGTATTTTATAAAACCACAAACAAAGATTCCCAAAAGTTGAAACAAAATTATAATAGGCCGTATATACAGGCTGGCAGTAGTTGCACAGCCCACCGCGCGGTGTATGAATCATAACGCATTGCTTTTTGCTGCGCTAGCAAAACACAAACTGCGAAGTCGAAGCACCTTTTCCGCGCAAGCCAAAATCCTTTCTTCTTCCAGACCCTAGAGCTAGATTGAGCCGACGTAGTACGGGTGGGTTACCACGGTGCAATACAGAGACCGGCGAAATGAGCGTGATCGACATCCTAACGCGAGTCGATGCGATCTGCAACAAGTACGACAAATACGACGTCGAGAAGCAGAAGAATCTCAATGTCTCCGGCTCCGGGGACGACGCGTTCGCTCGCGGTTACGCCGCCGTTGACGCCGAAATCGAAGCCGCTCTTGAGGTGACTTTCGTTTTTCTTCCTTTCGTGCTCCGCCGCCTTTTTTCTTTCCGGTGATCAATTCAAGTTTTCCTTGCTAGTTGGAGTTGAGGCGTAGGGATCTTCGAATTTGTCGAGTTGAGTTGAAACAGTTTCTGCTCTTTTCAGTTCTAGCTAAAATTAGATTCAATTACTAAGTGTGGAGGTTGTTGTATCTCTACTTGTTGAGGGATAGCGGATCGTAAAGTTCTATTTGAATTGGCCTTCATTTTGCTAGTTTTTCATTTCAGAAAGCGGAGCTTGCTTCCAAGGAGAAAAGCAAGGCGTCCACTGTAGCTCTCAATGCCGAGCTCCGTCGGACCAAGGCGAAATTGCTCGAGGAGGTTCCAAAGTTGCAGAGGCTTGCAATAAAGAAGGTATGCAATTACAATGGTTTATATCTAAGTTGTCGGCTTCCCGCTGTTTGAATCGAGAAATCCATATGAATAGCTGAAAGTTGTTCTCTTGCCTTTTTCTTCCGCTGAATGAAGCATCGTCTTGGCAATGCTGGATTGTAAATCAGGAACTCCTGTTCTATCGGGTTTTGTTGGTGGAGAGTTTGACATCTGTAGCAAAATTTCGGTCCAGTTATCAAATTTGCCCTTGCGGCCACCATTTTATTTTTGTTTGTGAGGCCTCCGGAAGATATAAGTGCGAGTCCCTAGGTTTTTTCCCCTTCCGTTTCTGTTCGTGTGTAACAAAGGGGATCTATTGGTTTTGCCAGCGAATCTCAAGTAGAAATGTTCTTATTCCCTTTCTTCTTGTCTTATGTGCCATCTATTGACAGGTAAAAGGCCTTTCGACAGAAGACTTTGCAGCCCGCAATGACTTGGTGCTTGCATTGCCAGATAGAATCCAAGCTATTCCAGACGGTTCTGCAGCTGCAGCAAAACAACCTGGAGGTTGGGGGCCCTCAGCTTCCCACACAGAAATCAAATTTGATTCAGGTAATTTAAGCATCTTGTTCATCTTATTATCTACTATTGTCGCGTGATTCCTCTTTTTTGCCCCGCACCCCCTGCCTGTAAATGGGAGTTTACCAATGAGGCACAGCTCACTGGATGATTGAGGTGCATTTTCCTTACACTTTAATGTTGTTTGTAGATGGTCGGTTTGATGATGAATACTTTCAAGAATCTGAGCAGTCAAATCAGTTTAGGCAGGAGCATGAAACACGTAAGAGGAGGCAGGTAAGTGAAAATATACATGGTGCAGTGAAATTCTGAGGTTCCTCTCTTCATAAAATCTTCATATATCTTAGTATTGTGACCAATAAATTTAAAACAGGATCAAGGTCTGGAGATGATTTCAGAAGGTTTGGATACTTTGAAAAACATGGCTCATGACATGAATGAGGTAGTAGTTTTTCCCTACTCTCTTGTTTTCTTTTCTTCTCTTCACTTTCCTATCGACATAAAATGGATAGTGATGCATGCAAGTGTTTGTTAAGCGAGACACAGACGCACCATTTTAGTCATTTTGCTCACTTGTGTATATATTAAGGCCCAGGTTTAATTGATCTTATGTGATCCTGATAGGAACTGGACAGGCAAGTTCCTCTGGCTGATGAAATCGATTCCAAGGTAAGTAGAATTCTGATTTCATAACATTAAAATTGAGACTTGCAGACATGCTGTTGAATTTTGAGGTTCTGTCCTCTGGTTCTTTCAGGTGGACAAGGCAGCTTCTGACCTTAAGAACACCAATATTAGACTTAAGCACACTGTTACTCAGGTATGATTTATATGTTTGTTAAAGATTTTCAATCTGCTGCTACCTGTTCTAGCTTCCTTGCTTTAACTGAAAAGATCTTTGATCTACAGTTGAGATCCAGCAGGAATTTCTGCATCGATATTGTTTTGTTGATCATAATCTTGGGCATCGCTGCTTATTTGTACAAGTAAGTTGCTGCCTACCTGATCAACAAGCTTATATTAGTTTAGATGTCCACAAGTTGCCTAAAGTATGAAAGCATGGATTTTTGCAGTGTACTGAAGAAATGAAACAAAGGGGTACTGTTGATGGACTTATCTCACGTTGTGATATGTTTGGCTTTCCTTTGCACTGTAATGTACCTCAATGACTCCGCTTGCTTGCCTTCCGTGTTTGGCTTGTCAATCCTGTTTATGAGTTTTCTGGCGCCAACTTGAATGTACCTTTCTTGTGTAAAGATCTCAGAAGTCAGTCATATATGTATTCAGTTATCTTCTTTCCTGTTTGTCGAGCAGTAAATTATTTTGTGATCTAATTTTCCCATATTATCTCTAACTTACGTCTAGTTTAAGTGAAATGGTCTAGAAGCAGAAGCAGAAAAGCGCGAGTTCTAGAAGAGACATATCTTATTATATGTCTCGGTGGCAGTTGAGGGTCACTAAGTTGAATATGATTTCCTTATTAGATCACTGGGTTGAGGATTCCTGCATCTAGAGGTACAATATTTCTGACTTTGTAGTAAACCAGTGAGTGTAATCTCATGCCAAGCAATCTGTACAAAAAGTATAACTGGAGTACATGGCATAAAGTATATAACATTTTCTTTTGAAACGATTCTAGTGATTCTTCATATGTCTCGGTTATATTTAGACCCTTCTCCAGCTGAGGCCACTCATGTTGACGTTGTGATGAATTCATTCCTTCTGACTGATGAGGTCTGTAAGGATTACTGTTCAAATTGATCCTAGGAAATGCGCTGTATATTATTGCCTGATAAGATCAACCGCATATTTTATTTGCCTTTTGGATATTTACCATATCTGTGTGGGCTGTAAAAGTATTAGAGATATGGTTGCTCCTCCCAGAAAATTCTACTGTTACAAAATTTGTAGAAATTCTAGGACCTGACTTTTCTGCGTAGTAGTTGCTAATGATCTTCTGGAACAACTCTCAACATAAAAGAGTTTTCCTTTTGTACTCGATGAAACCTGATTACTACAAATTATGTACCTTTTATCATGGTGGGTCCTTCTCTGGTGTCTAGTTGGTTGCTCTGAAACTTAAAGTTACGAAGCTATTCATATTCTGCCTAATGGGTTTGCTGTAGAGCACCATCATTAGTGTTCTAAAACTGATCGTCTCCACAAAAGTTGATATCGAAGGTATCCTCACATATAGATATCATCGTATCTTCGTCGAAATCTCCATTTTTAGGCTTCTTGCCTAGGTAAAAACTAGAATCCTGCTGCTGATGTTCTCTTCCAACATCTTTGCGCTTCAGTGGGTTAAAGAAGTTATCTAGCGAAGTAACTGATGAGAATTGCAGGTTCTTATCATCCGAAGAATCTTCCTCATAACCTGAAATGCTTGACTTCTCACTGCCTTGAAAGTTTATGCTGGATGCTGGTTGTTTAGTGGTGCAGGAGGAAAAATCTTGAGATGCAAATATGTAAGGCAGCATTGGGCACTCCTTGTAGAGGTAATTCTTCACCGCGTCGTCATTAGGGTTCGTGAAGTAGTTCTTCACAATGTCATCATTATTAAGGTTGTTTGTATTCCCTGGCTTGCCCACGTGATTATTGTTGACAATTTCGATGCTAGGAGTCGTGCTATTCATTGTCTTGCATAGATTTGCAGTCATTTGCAGCAGCTCATTTTGTTTTGGGAAAGTCCCTGCTAGTTCTTTAAGAGGAGCACTTGGATCTTCCCAAAGGCTCCTAGGGCTACTACACTTTTGCCTAACCCGGCATAGGACCCAGTCGTCTAACTGCAAGGATGAGGGGGAGGGGGTGGTAAAAAGAGGGGAAGGAGTTGTGAGTTTTGAGAGAATATGAATAGGGAAAAGAGATTAAAATGAAGGGTGTATTTATTGTTACTTACCCTCATGGACCCTTTTTGCCTGGCAGTGGAGACCACAGTATCAGGCAGCCTATATTCATACATGATCCAGTCAGTCTTAATTCCCTTAGGAGGGCGGCCTTTGTAGAAGACAAGAGCCTTCTTGACACCGACGCTTGACATTGCAGTTGAGGTAAGAATGGGCTTGTCTGTCCCGGTTGCCTTCCAATAGCCTGAAGCTGCTGCCCTGTTGGGGCGGGCTCCGTTTGGGTACTTCCTGTCCCTGGGTGTGAAGAAGTACCATTCGTCCTCTCCAAAGAGCGCCTTGCCTGATTGTTGCATACACGGAAAGTTAGGAAGTAGGAAGCAGAAAAGGAAATGGAGAAGTGGGGAATTGGCATTCCTTTCATAGCAGTAAGGAGGGAGGGAGGGAGTAATAATAATAGCAATACGTACTTGGTAGGTCCCATGGGTCGTACTTGTAGAGGTCGATCTCGGCAACAATGGAAGCTGGTAGAGGAGCTGATCGAATTCTGTTGTTCAAGTACTGAACTATGAGTTCTTCATCGGTTGGGTAGAATCGAAAGCCCGGGGGTAGATGGATGTCTGACCCGGATTTGGTTTCCATTATGGGAGGGAGGTTAGAATAGAAACAGGGTGTTTCTGTTGAGGTTTAGAAAATGGTGGAAGGAAGGGTTTGGACTTTGGAGGGAGTTGTGTTGGAGTGAAGGTGTATAATATTTATACAAGGCGTTGGTCTCCTTCCTTGTGCCGGCACGAAAATGGAAAAAGAAAGAGTTGTACTTGTTCTTTTTATGAATTGGTCCAGGGGAGGAAGGGAAGCAGAGTGGGAAGGTTTGTGGCATTGGAAGTGACTCAATGTTGTGGCCTAACGACAGGGTGGATGTGGTTAGTGCGGCTCAGCCAGCCAGCCCCCTTGGGAACAAGTACAAGACAAGACGGGGGCTTGAGGAGTTGAGGTGAGCTGTTTTGTTTTCTGCGCCATATTATATTATATATGCCACTAGGGTTTCCCATCATTTTATTTATCTTTTTCCCACTATCCTATCCTATCCTAGTCTAGTTTAAGATAGAATTGAACTTAGGGGTTGTTACTGAATACTAGTTTAGTTTAGGTCTCCCTCCCAATCCCATGCATTCCGTTTAATCACACAATGCCTGGATCAGGCATCAATTGTGGTTAAGCTCATCTCTAGTTTTCTATACTCGCATGGTTGTTTGATTTTTAACCACGTTTTAAAATAGCAAGTCGGTTTAACCCATCCCATGCCCATTAACAATTTGTTGTACCCACTTCAGATTGCCCCTTCATATTCTACTTGGGTGGAACTGAAACTTCCAATGTAGAGGGAGGGAGGGATGGGTTTATCCTTAGGAATATTGAGAGTAAAAAATTCTTGTGCCTATGCAATTCCAATAAATTGGAAAAAGCATAGGATTTGGAGGGAGGCCACTTTGTTTTGTTGCCTTTCACCTGTCTCTTAACTAATTCCAGCGCTGGCTGAACGACATGGTAGTGCGCAAGGCATTTTCTTTTCCCAAAAATAAAGTAAAAAAATCAATGAAGAAAAAGGTTGAGTTATTCGTTAATTAACCACCCGACCGGAAGTTTAAAACCATTTTGTCTCATCAATACTCAATTCAATTGGCTCGTGATTGCATCCAAGGTTTTCCTTATTATAATGATTGATAATAACAACAATTTCAAATCTATGTGGCACCATCGGATTGCACAATGCCATGGGAAGCAAATCATCATCCCACAAGCAGAGACGGTCCAAAGCCCAGAGTGGAGACAAAAAAGATCCTTTCAGTAAAGGAATTGGTCTGCAACCGATCCAGTTGGCAGAGAGAGAGAGAGAGAGAAGAGTAACAACAATATGCCTGTCCTCCTGTCCATCCATTATCAACAATAAAATCATCATTTTGAGAAATTATTGTTTAACCTAAAACTTTGTTGTATTATTTACGTGGAACGATACCAGCAATGGAGAGGAGAAGGAGTATAGTTAATATATATAATAATAACGGCTAAAATTACACGTTTGGTCACTCAAATTATACAAATCTTTCATGTTTGCCACCCGAATTACTTTTCTTTCTTATTCGCCACTAACTTTACGAATCGTTTCACGGTTGGTCACCGACCGTTACACTTCGTTAAGTTTGTCCTACGTGGCAGTCAACTATAAAGTTGGACCGTTAACTAGATGATGTGGAAATTAAAAAAAATATAAAAAAAATAAAATTTTCTTTCCACCTCATCATTGCACTTATTTTTTCTATATAATTTATCATATTAATAATTTAATAAAATTTAATAAATTATAAAAATGGGCAAATCCAAATGCTCATCATCCTCACCCTCACCATCCACTCCATCGTTCAATCACCAGACTATCTCCGGCATCAAGTCCAAAGGCGTCCGCCCCGACCTCATCGGATCCATCGTCGCTCACTACGCCTCCAAGTGGCTCCGGGAGCTCTCCTTCTCCTCCTCTCCGTCGACGTCGACAACAACGTCCCTGCCGTCGCCACGGCCGGCTCGGAAGAGAGCATGACCATACCAAGATGATGTTGATGACGACTTTAGTGCCTTAATGGAATGCGTATGATCGGCTCAGAAGTAGGGATGGCAATGGGTCGGGTCGGGGACGGATAGTGCATATCCGTTACCCTACCCAAAGTAGTTCGGGTTTTACCCATGCCCATACCCACATGTGAAACGGGTAGAAAATCAAAACCATGCCCATACCCGTTCGGGTTTCGGATATCCACGGTTATCCATGGGTAATAATTTCTCTTCATAACTCCAACCAATATGTTAACATTCATACGTATTCTCACATTAAGTAAGAGGAAAAGTACGACAATACTTCACGAGAATGAAGAAAATTAATTAAAACAACAAAATTTCATGAAAATATTATATTTATATGATAAATAGAAAATATGTTAGTAAAAAATAATGATTATTTCTAGACAAAATACATGTGCATGTGTATAATCGGGCGGGTTCGGGTTGGATAGTGTGAAACTCATGCCCACCCATTACCCGCAATATTCAGGTTCGGGTTTTACACATACCCACTAAATGTCCTTCGAGTTCGGGTTTTACCCTACCCGATTAGGCCGGATTCGGGCGGATATCCACGGTTATGGATATTTTTGCCATCCCTACTCAGAAGAGGCCATAGTAAAGGCGTATGATAAATTAGTCTCAGTCCATGTGGTTGCAGCTGTTGCAGTGTCTACATGGTCTTTTAGTGCCTTAATGGAATGCGTGGGTCTATTGGAACCCGGGTAGCCAGGGCCATATTGTGACGATGATGATGTTGATGACGACTTTTTGGCAACTACAATGCTTCTGGATGAAGTGAATTGAGAGTGGGATGATCCATGTTCGGAGCTGCTACAGAAGAGCTTCTTGGGAGGATCAGAACAGTAATGGAAGGACGAAGGCAGGAGTCTGTTTCCTGCAGTGAGTCCAATGACTGCAGTGGTGGCCATCATATGGCTTCTTTCCCAGCACCCTCAATAACCATTACAAGTTTTCTTCCCCAACATGAAATTTGGCGGTGGAAACTTAAAACCCTTTGAGTTGCTTTCTATATTTAGTTCTTCCACAGTGGGAGAAACCAAATCAGTAGGGCTCAGCAGAAATCAATGTTTTCCCCCTCCTAATTTGGTGATCAAACATAGAAAAAGAATGAACACAAGCCACTCTCCAGCTTCATATGTGTAAATAGCTTCTTCTACAATTAAGACAAACATGTTAATATTTTACACAATGGCATGGTAAACCAAAATCCAGCTCATGGGATAGCTAAATGAAAGTGAAAGAAGCACATAATTGGAGTGGTTTGTTAGCACATAGAGTTGAACTCTAATGGGCAAATATGCATATATACATGCAGCAGCTTGGAGCTTGTCTCCAATTATGTCATCAGAACTCAAATCTCATGTTTCAAAATTTTTTAATCGTTTCATAAACGAGTGGGAAGTGATTAGAATGAGAATCAGAAGCTGGGTTTGGATTGACAAGCATACACTCAGCAAATGTTAAAGGATCGAAATGAATCGCATAGTGGCTGGTAGCAAGAGGAAGAAAGAAAGAAAGAGAGAAAGCCAAGCTGGTGCAGCAGAGATGAGTTTGAGATGTGAAATGGCAACATACCTGATGGAGAACGGAAACTGAATTTCGATCAACAGCAGCCTGAGAAGAGGAGAAGCCGGAAGAAAGGGAGATGGCGATGAGCACAGAGAGGAACAAGAACCTCTCCTTGTTTCTCGTTCTGCTACGTTCGCCTGTCAGCAAGGCTGTAACTGCTTTGTTATCATGCTCTCTTCCGAGCCGGCCACGGCGGCGGCAGGGACGCTGTTGTCGACGTCGACAGAGGAGGAGGAGAGGGAGAGCTCCGGGAGCCACTTGGAGGCATAGTGAGCGACGATGAAGCCGATGAGGTCGGGGCGGACGCCTTTGGACTTGATGCCGGAGATAGTCTGGTGATTGAACGATGGAGTGGATGGTGAGGATGATGAGCATTTGGATTTGCCCATTTTTATAATTTATTAAATTTTATTAAATTATTAATATGATAAATTATATAGATAAAATAAGTGCAATGATGAGGTGGAAAGAAATTTTTTATTTTTTTTTATTTTTTAATTTCCACGTCATCTAGTTAACGGTCAAACTTTATAGTTGACTGCCACGTAGGACAAATTTAACGGAGTGTAACGGCCGGTGACCAACCGTGTAACGATTCGTAAAGTTAGTGGCGAATAAGAAAGAAAAGTAATTCGGATGGCAAACATGAAAGATTTGTATAATTTGAGTGACCAAACATGTAATTTAGCCTAATAATAACAATAACAATAACGGTGAGAATAATCGGAACGAAACTTAACATTGGCGCATAGTTGCTTAATTCGGTTTTATTCTAACTACACAAGAGTGATTGATTAATAATATCTTCTTAACCAATAGACTCCAATATTTGAAGCTAACAGGACCGTTCAAAAACAACAAACATATACGCAACACAACCCAACACTTGTTGATAACCAACACTACTATATATTTTTCTTAATCATTATATACTAATCTCCTAATCTAATTAATTGTTTGCCGGTAGGTGCTGACGAATGTTCTTCCTTCCACTCTTGTTTGGAGTTATTCGGTATATTTTGTACTATTATTTTGGAATTATTATGAAATAAGTCTTGTTTGCAACCCCCTTCAATTGAATTTTGGTTGGGTAAATCCGACCTATGTTTTGTTTTCGGTGCCCACATAATTACAGTAAAAAGTTCATTGATGAAACTTAAGATGCTAGTGTGGAAAGCTGTGTTCATAAACCGCGAGGAGGTTGCAGTTAGTGGAGAAACGCCACTCTCTTGGACGATTAATCAAGGAATGTTGAATTAAACTAGGAAAATAGCTCTCTTGACTAATCGACTGATGGTTGCTAAGACCAGTCACTCAGAAACTAATCCGAAATGGCGAAATAGTAACCAATCATGGTAGGTTCATGACACTAAATCGATATTTGAGGATTGCCCAAAATTGACCTAGATGGGGTTACCCAATTGGTCAAAAAATCCGGCTTCTTAAGGCCCAAAGGGGGATTTCATACACCTAGGTCAATTTTGACCTAACTTTGAAATATGCAGTACAACAATCAAGAATAATGAAAATTACATCAAACATTGGATTAATCTTGGAGACTTGCCCGTAATCTCGAGCTACAATGTGTCGTTTCATTTAGAGACTTCACGGTCATGGCAGAATTATCACAGTCTAGTGCCCGTGATTTTCGACTTGCCCACGAGGCGTGCAGAAGCTCCTGGATCCCGTTGATCTTCACGGTCTGGGCCCAAACATCACGGTCTCCCATCCATGATAATGGTCCTCTGGCCGTGACCTTTGCCTTTTTGTCCATTGTGCTCCATTTTTGTCCTCTTTCGTTCGACTTTCGGTCCCGATAGTTAAACCATTTATGAAACATGATTCTCCTCCCAAGCTCCCACCCCCAATTCTTCTAGATCTCAATATACCTCTTCATTACTATTGTTTTCCTTTTTCCGGCCTGCAAATCTATTTGTTGGCGCCATCGACCTTCAAAGGCCGCTGGAGATCGATTACGACGGTCGAGCCGCAGAAAAGTGTCGCCGACGAGCCTGAGTGTCGGATGGAGTGATTCAGGCTTAATTATACATGTTTTAACCCCATATTCTTGTGATGTTTGAGGCATTTACATCACCCAAGG